TATAATTTATATGCTTTTGTTTAAGCATAGCGGCGGATAAAAGTATATTATTGGTATTCAAATGGAAAACAAGCAAAAAAAAGTTGATAGGCTCGTGTAATCTAAAGTGGGATTGAACAATTTCACGCGCATATGGTGTACCTGTGCTTTGTGCGTCTCTGATGGGTGTATGTGTGCGTAGAGCGTTTTTTGATTGATCAACCATGTTTTTCCCGATGCTTTGTATCACTCGCATCATCTTCATCTCCACATTTGTTTTCTTTGCTTTCCTGCAAATTACACCCACTTTTATTTTCTCTCCCTCGCTTTTTGTATAATTTCAACCTCTTGCTTTATTGTTTTCATCATCATCATTTAAAACATCGATTCAATGTAGCCGTTATACTTTTAGTTGTTATTTCCTTTTTTTTTTTTCCCATTTATTATTTTATTTTAGTCGCAAAGACCTTGCAGAAAAACAAAAGTCATCGCCTGTCGCCCTGTGTGCACACAAAAATTCAGATTTTACAAAGGTTCAATGAAACTAAGTATTTTTTCGCTGCCCCGACTTGATTATTTTTCTGCAAGGTATACATATAGTATATACATATTTATTATTACACAGATTCACTAATTTGATTTTTCATTTACAGCCATTTATTTATTTATTTATATACCATTATGTTACGTTATCGTTTATACATCATATTATAATTTATATGCTTTTGTTTAAGATTAGATTTGTTTTTGTTTTTTTTCATTATCTTTTATCCGTACAAGCACGCATTATTGCAGTATACGTTAGAGTGCATATATAGTGTTATCGTTAATTTTTTAATTTATCGATTAGCGAAAAGTGCGCGAGTGTATACGATGCAACTAGCGGTCATCACCAGCGGGTGTATCGCTGTAGTCTGGGGTGTGAATGGGCGAGCAAGTGTTGATGAGTTTAGTTGAGCTTGGGGCACGTAGTGGAGCGAGCTGTACTTGGGGGGGATGGCCTCGTATATAATTATGCAGTAGGTGAACGGGCGGGTGGGTGGGTTTTGTTCGGATGGCCGAGTGAAATGGCGACTGACGTGGGTCTCAATCGTGCATTACAGTGCCGGGAGATCCGCAAAACGTCAAGGCCACGGCCGTCAACTCCACGACCATACACGTCACGTGGGACCCTCCTAAGATCAAGGAGCGCAACGGCCTCATACGCGGTTACCAAGTTCACGTACAGGAAGTCAACGAAAAGGTGGGTGTACATACCGAGGGTCCGTTGTGGCGGCTCGTGCGACAAATAATCATGGATTATCGATTTTGCGGTTTTTAGAACAAGAACCAGCTGAACGAGCCGATCCACAGCATGATCCTCCAGGAGAACGTGCTGGACGCCAACATAAGCGGCCTCCAGCCGGACACGCGCTACGACGTCCAAGTGGCCGCCCTGACGAGGAAGGGCGACGGCGCGAGGTCCGTCCCCGTCAACGTCAAGACCCACGGTGGCGTGCCGAGCAAGCCCCAAGTCAGCCTCAAGTACGTATACACCAACTGTTGCAAGTGTATATATAAGTATGTATCGTGACTGACGATTGCCTTTCTGTAGGATCCTCAGCCAGGAGGACCCGATCGAGATCGAGCTCGAGTGGAAGAAGCCCGTCGAGACTTTTGGCCAGATCATGGGTTACAGGATACGCTACGGCGTCAAGAACCAGGTGATGAAGGAGGTGTTCATCAACGGCAGCGACACCTTCAACTACAGAATAAAAGATCTGGGTGAGGTTTCCTTCGGATACTCCTTTTTACTTGCTTCGATGCGATTGGAGCGTAATTTTTTTGTTACATCGATGTGTCGTTGTGGTTGTAGTCGAGCGAGGGGTTGACTACGAGTTCAGGGTCGCGGGAAAAAATAACGTCGATTACGGCCAAGAGGAGGTACGCAACTGGTTTAGCCAGGAGTCGCGGCCGTCGGGTCCACCGACGAACCTCACCTATCACTTCCAGACGCCCGACACCGTATGCGTCACTTGGGAGCCACCGCTGGCCAGGCACAGGAACGGCCACATTGTCCAGTACAACGTGCAGTTCCACAAGAAGAACGACCACACGAGCGAGGTCGTGCGCAACACCACCAAGACCCGCATTGTTTTCACGAACCTCGAGGAGCATTGCGAGTACGTTTTCCACGTCAAGGCCTACACGATGCGGGGCGAGGGTCCCTACTCCGAGAAGATCACCATAGCTACCGAGCGGGACATCGGCAGAGCACCCATGTCCGTCAAGGCTGTCGCTACTTCGGAGTCCAGTGTCGAGGTTCGTTGCTTTCGTAGCTACACCTTTATGTGATTGATGTAAAATACAATTTGTACAAAAATACACGTCGTTCCTCTTTTGTGTAGGTGTGGTGGCAGCCAGTGCCTAACCGGGGCAAGATCGTCGGCTACATGATTTTCTACACGATGACGGCAGTCGAAGATCTGGACGAGTGGACCAACAAGACCGTGAGCGTGACGGAATCGGCCGATCTGCTGAATCTCGAGAAATACGCGACTTACGCTGTGGCTGTCGCTGCCCGCTACAAGAACAACCTCGGTAGGCTCAGCGAGAAGGTGACCGTGAAAGTCTGGCCAGAGGAGGTGCCACTCAATTTGCGAGCTCCCGAGGTCTCGACGCACTCGATGACCCTCTCCTGGTCGCCGCCCATCAAGCTCAACCCCATCAAGTACAAGATCTCGTACGACGCGTTTAAGGAGTTTGTCGACTCGCAGGGAATGACGCAGTACCAGATAGTGCCGCGGCGCACGATCGAGCTCGACGCCAACATTTTCACGGTCGAGGTCAAGGACCTCCAGCCTTTTACCACCTACAACGTCAACGTGAGCGCCGTGCCGTCCGATAACTCGTACAAGCCACCCGCCAAGATCACCGTCACCACGCAGATGGCCGCCCCGAAACCTATGGTTGGCCCAGCCTTCTACGGCGTCGTCAACGGCGAGGAGATTCAGGTGCGCATCTCTTTTTTTTTTTTTTTTTTTTTTTTTTATATCGTTATACTCAATCGTTATTTTTTATCCGATAGGTGATCCTGCCCCAGGCTTCCGAAGAGTACGGGCTGTTGTCGCATTACGACCTGATCGTAGTGCCAGAGTCGCCGGAGTACGTTAACAAAAATCCAGATGAATTCACTGGAGACATGATCGCTACGTCGAAAGACGACAATCCGCTCAAGCCTTACATCACGGCCAAGTTCCCGACCCGAGACATTCCGTACACCTTCCACCTGGGCGATGGCGAGACCTACGAGGGCTACACGAACAGAAAATTGGAGAAGGGAAGCAAGTACCGGATATTCGTACGAGCTATTGTCGATACTCCAAGGAAGCACCTGTACACATCGTCTCCGTTCTCGGAGTACTTGTCCTTGGACATGAGAGAACCACCCCCAGGAGAGCCCCCACGTAGGCCGAACCCAGAAGCTCCGATCGACGGCAATCCCGAAGTGTCGGTCGACATAACCGGCCAAGAGCCGGGCATGTTCTGGGTTGTCGGCCCCATTATCGCTGCCCTCGCGGTCTGCATCGTTTTGGTCCTGGCGTTCGTTCTCAAAAAGTCAGTAGTTTGTATAATTTTATTTGGCTAGATTTTGTTTTTACTTGAATATTCGCGTAACAACGTTGTTGAAATTTCAGACGCAGGCAGCCATGCAAGGCGCCCGATCACACGGCGGTGACGCGGCCGTTAATGTCGGCCGATATAAGCTCGAATCACGCTCCGTCCGATCCCGTAGAGATGCGCAGGCTCAACTTCCAGACCCCGGGAATGATGTCGCATCCACCTATTCCGATCAACGAACTGAGTACCCACATCGACAGACTGAAAGCGAATGACAATCTCAAGTTCAGCCAGGAGTACGAGTCCATCGAGCCCGGCCAGCAGTTCACTTGGGATCACTCCAACATGGACGTGAACTCGAGCAAAAATCGTTACGCCAACGTCATAGCCTACGATCACTCTCGAGTCATTTTGCAAACGATCGACAGTGTCCCAGGATCGGATTACATAAACGCCAACTACTGCGATGGCTACAGAAAGCAAAACGCGTACGTGGCGACGCAGGGACCGTTGCAGGAGACGTTTGCCGATTTCTGGAGAATGTGCTGGGAGCTCAGGTCCAGCACGATCGTGATGATGACGAAGCTCGAGGAGAGGACGAGGATCAAATGCGACCAGTACTGGCCAAGTCGGGGCACTGAGACTTACGGACAGATGCAGATCACGATCAGCGACGTCCAAGAGCTCGCCACCTACTGTATCCGGACCTTCCAGGTAAGTACCGCGCGAGCAATACTGCACGTTATCTCGAGTCACAAAATGTTAAAGTTTCTCCTGACGATTGAAAACGTGACTTTTGAAAACAGGTGTGCAGGCACGGGTGTACGGAACGCCGCGAAATCAAGCAGCTGCAGTTTACCGCCTGGCCGGATCACGGAGTACCCGAGCATCCAGCCCCGTTTTTGCAGTTTTTACGTCGCGTGCGTAGCTTGAATCCACCCGAGGCCGGGCCCCTGATAGTCCACTGCAGTGCTGGTGTTGGTCGTACCGGTTGTTTCATCGTCATCGACTCGATGCTGGAGCGCATAAAGCACGAAAAAACCATCGACATTTACGGCCACGTTACTTGCCTGAGAGCTCAGCGCAATTACATGGTCCAGACTGAGGATCAGTACATATTCATTCACGACGCTCTTCTCGAGGCAGTCATTTGCGGTATGCCCAAGTTTCAAACTTGGATAATGAAGCATGCATGTACTTTTGCGCTTGGGGTTTATAACTAATACATGTGAACAACATTTGCAGGCAATACGGAGGTTCCCGCGAGAAACTTGCATACGCATATGCAGAAATTGTTGCAGACAGAGGTCGACAATATAACAGGAATGGAGCTAGAGTTTAAGAAACTATCGAATATTAAGGCAGACTCGACGAGATTTATATCGGCAAACTTGCCGTGCAACAAGCACAAGAATCGATTAGTCCACATTTTGCCTTACGAGTGCACGAGGGTGTGCCTGCAGCCTCAGAGGAACATCGAGGGCTCGGATTATATTAATGCGAGCCTCATCGACGGTTATCGGTATCGAAGCGCTTACATAGCCACGCAAGGTAAGTAACGAAACACGCAACTTTTAACATATGTATATATTGTAGTGTGGGGATCAAAATGTACAAAATACTTGACTCATCATGTGTCGTAGGCCCACTGAATGAAACGACCGACGACTTTTGGCGTATGCTCTGGGAGCACAACTCGACCATCGTCGTGATGCTGACCAAGCTGAAAGAGATGGGCCGCGAAAAGTGCCACCAATACTGGCCGTCGGATCGCTCGATTCGCTACCAATACTTCGTGGTCGACCCCATAGCCGAGTACAACATGCCCCAGTATATCCTGCGCGAGTTTAAGGTGACAGACGCCAGGGACGGCGCGAGTCGCACCGTGCGCCAGTTCCAATTCACCGACTGGCCCGAGCAGGGCGTGCCCAAGTCCGTCGACGGCTTTATCGACTTTATCGGCCAGGTGCACAAGACGAAGGAGCAATTCGGCCAGGACGGGCCAATCACCGTCCACTGCAGCGCCGGAGTCGGTAGGACCGGCGTCTTCATCACCCTCAGCATCGTGCTCGAGCGCATGCAGTACGAGGGCATCGTCGACATCTTCCAGACTGTCAGAATACTCCGCACCCAACGTCCGGCCATGGTCCAGACCGAGGTGAGCTTCTTCTTTTCTGTCCTTCTTATTTTTGTTTTCCTAATGATTCGATTGATTGTAACGATCGATGATTCTTCCAGGACCAGTATCAGTTCTGCTACCGGGCGAGTTTGGAGTACTTGGGCTCGTTCGACCACTACGCCAACTGACAACCAGATGTTCGCGAGCTGAGGGAACCGGGGCGAGATCGCAGCGACCGGCCAAGGAGTCGCGATCACACGATGGAGCGGGCGGCCAAGGTGCGCAAGGTCTAGTGGTACGACGAGTCGTCGTCGCCGCCACCGCTCCGCCGTCATCATTTCTACACTCCGCCATCATCGGGTTTCTCGGCGAGCGAGTTCGACGATTGATAAGAATGAAAGGAAAGAAGAACAAGTAAAGGCCAACTGTTGTCCTTTTTTTTTTTTCTTTTTCTTTTTTCACTTCATCGAAGGCCGGCGCGACGACGTTGACAAAATAAACGAGAGTTAATTGTAAGTACGAATAATGCAAGGTCAGGGGAAGAACGATACATCAGAGCTTCGCCGTTTCACATGCACATCCTCGATGTTTTCTATTAAGGTTCTTTCGTGTCCGAACCTTTCTCTTTTAAGCGTTAAAAAAACAGTCGATTGTGTATCCCCACAATCTCCTGCAATACATATCTCTCACTCGAGCGCGTGGACGAGTGCTTTGAACCTCTACGCAGGTTTGCAGCTTTTTTGGAATTCACTTATACTAACTTTTTCGAAATCCCTTTTACCATAATATTCCTATTGCGTAGCCTTGTAAATTATTGTAGCTAATGATACAAAAAGACCATATCCTAGTTGTTCCTCATAATTGAGCATAAAACACTCGGAATCTAAAGCAATTTTGAGCAAACGTATAAATTTTTTCTTCAATTGTAGGGTAAACTTTTTTCAATTTTCCAAAAATTCATCAGTAATAACGAAAGGTTTAGTGTACAATCGAATCCCTACGGTTTATTGGGTGTATTGTGTGCCTTCCTTGTTATCTTAATATTGAAACTACAAGGACTGGGCTCACGTTTTCGCAAACTGCGCCCTTTGCTAACAATCTTCTGTGCGTCGATGTAGGACTGCCGAATTCCAAAAATTGCTATCAGTATCCGCTGAAACGGCGTTTGGACACAACAATCCACCCCTGAAAAGATGCATGCGTTATAATTATTATGTGTGAAATAAAAATGACTAAACTGAATGCAATTATTTTTTTGTTTTTCTAATCGAACTTAACAAGAAAGAAAGAAAGAATGAGTAAATGTCATACTGCCAAATCGACAATTTATTAAAGATAAAAAATAAAATGCTATACCTATTATTTACGATAGAGAACCTTTCTAATACCCTAACGTATAACATGATCTTTAGCGCGTAAGTAATCATTGTAATTTTAGACAGTTAAGTAACGAGCTATTAGAATTGTGAAAAATAATAAATCGAACAAAACAGAACAAAAAAAGACACGCACGAGTGTGCTAATAAATTATGGATAATGCTATACAGAGAGTGGACGGAACGTGGAGTTTCGCCTAGTGTGAATAATTACTGAATAATTTTAACGGATATAGTGCGGCACTGAATGTTGAAATCACTGATTGTTGTTGTCCCGTGTCTCGCGTTCATTATCATGTGTACAAAGTTTAAGCTTCTCTCGTACGTCATTTTATACGTACATGTAAAATCAATTTGCCACGTAGGCTTCAATTGTTATTTGTTAATGTAATGATTTTTTTTGTACATGTGTGATATACAAATTTTTTTCATGTGTTTGTATTAAAACGTTTGTTGTCATCAGTTGTGATTCAATTTAAAAAAATTACAACTGTTTTGCGTAGACTTACGTAGTAATGAATATAATGTTGATAATTTTTACACACATACGTTTTCTTTATCATTTAGTTGTAATCTTGTGTCTGAAAGAAATAGTAAAGATTAAAAAATACAAAGCAATAAGTAAGAGAATCAATTTGTCATTTGAAGTTGCTCTTTAGTTGATTATGAAGTGAAAATTTTTTACATTTCACACGAGCCATTTCATAATATTTGTAAAAAAAAAAAAAAAAAAAAACGCGCATGTGACTTCAAACTGATTATTGAAAATGCAATCAATTTTTAATTAATGAAAATGCGCGTTGTATTATGTCGTCAATTTTTTCGTACATGAGGTGGTAACATAAATTTTAATGAATGGACTCGTGAACACGGGAATTCGCAATTTGTACATAAAAAGCACTGTACCACCGTAAATAACATTAAATATACATAAGGTAATGAACGATGTATACATAGATATATATATATAAATATATATTATAGATATTATTGTAAAACAGAGAACAAAGTAAAAATAAACACAGAAAAAAAAGGTGAGGCATGACTTACAACATTTGAATGATTTTTTTTGTTCTCTTCGAGAGATTACTATACATAAACGTAATCAGGCATTTAATGTAAAGTTGTTCGATTGGTATACCAACTTTAATACTCGAGCGAAATGTGTACCTTCTCACATTTATTATGTCCCTTGGCTTGTTTCATAAGTTTTTTAAATATTTTTCGTACATGTATATGACTTTGCGTCTTTTGTACATTTTTATGAATGCTCTTGTGAAACGAAAAGATTCACGCGTGTGTATCTCCGTAGATTTAGTTTGTAGAGTAGCTTACGTTATTTTCATTTACCTGTACAATGCTACATCGAAGGCCATACGTCGTATTAATTTTAATTATCGTGTTTACAAAAAAACATTGATCTCGTTTTTAAAAAAAGTAATCAACTTTCTCGATATTTTAATTGCTTGTTTGTCCATCTTAAATTGTAAATAGAATAATTTTTTATAATACAAGTCGTGTTTTGATGTACAGATAAAATAAAAATGTATACATAGTATAAAATACCAGTGTTTGTAAGATATTTTAACTGTCATGTAAACATTGTAAGTAAAGATGTATCACTCAGAAAAAATTTTACAATTTTGGAAATTCTTTTTTCTGTTTGTTTTTTGTTTTCGAAAAAACTGTAGAATAAATAAAACATTGTACAATAATTATAATACACTCTAATCGGTTATAGTAATCTAAACGCTCTATTTTTAACTGTTGCACATTAGAAAAATGGTTATAGATTGCATTGTATCATAATAGATAAATGTTGATATATTTACATCATAATTCATTAAAGAAAAAAGTAGATGAAGACAATAACGTTAAACTAGACGTCAAGTAGAGATCCTTTAATTTTTTCAAAGCTAGATTACATCACCTAATTATTCTTTTTCATTGGTATAAGGTAGTTTTTTTTTTTTTTTTCATTATGGCCTTCGATTCGCATTTTACGAGAATTGTGGCTTGGCGTACGTGTGGGTACAACTATAGCTTTAATTTTTAATGAGTACAAAATTTTTTCAATCAAGTATCGAACATTTTTGTTTTGTATGTAACTGTAATCAATAAATTTAATATTTAAATTATTAGACTACAGTAGGATATATTTAAAAAAAATATATATATTTCTTTTTCGTGTACAAATAATCTTTGCCCATTTGTATTGTATCGAGTAAAGTTTTTTTTGCGAATAAATTTATAAAAAGTAGATCCCCGCCTTAAAATAATAAATTTTATAGGAGATCGATTTAATGCTATGCATCGAAAATATTAAAAATATCTCCTAATAATCATTAACAAAATATTGAAAACATGTCCATTCCTAAATAAAAAACTGACAAAAAGCTAAGCGGTACTTAATTGTGAGAATTCAAAGACTTACTCCTTGATGTAAACGAGGTAATGTCGTGCATCTGTATCATTTACGAGACAAACTATGTAATTTTCGCACGTTAACGTTCCACTTTGTTTTCTTCATTTTTTGCGAAAACAAAAACTTGTAAGTGAACCTTTAGGAGAAAACAAAATTATGCGTAAGTTTTTAATTAATTAGATAGTGTATCTAGGGAAGACTTAAAAGTTACTATACTGTTTTTAACAAATTTGTCTGATACTAATCATGTACTTTAATTTTTCAAAAATCAATCTTCTCAACATGTTTTATGACATGCGCTAAATAAAATTTGTACCAATAGTTACGCAATCGATTTATTAACTATTGTTTGTTGCGTACATTCAACACATTCGCCGTGTTAATGATGCCTTGCATATAATGTTATGATTGTGTATCGAAAAAAATCTCGAGTTGTATTCTTTTTTTAAGATAAAAAATGGAATAAATGTCATGTAAACCGAGTGTTAAAATTATAAAGTTGCTAAACATTGAGTAATATAACTGGAGTACCAATTACAGTTGAAAGAATGGGAAATTATTTTGTGATACTTTCTTGCCAGAAAGAATACAACAGGCTAAGGCGAGAATAATATACAATGTTACTGATGATTGAAAAAAAAAAAAGAAAAAAAATAGTGTGTAATATGAGTCTGTTGATAAATACCATGTACATTGGCCCTATGGCATTAATAAACTAGAAACTAATGTGTAATTGTAATTATTTATTTCTCACATCATTTAAAAAAATTGAAAAATTAATTTAATACAGACATTTGGTGAAGTTTAATAACATTTATATTTTTTACAAACATTCAAACTTTTGCACACAATTAAATTAATATCACATTATTCCATACATTATTTTAAATAACATTAGTTGGCTGACTAAAATTTCCTGTTGGTGGACTTCTGGTCATCATTGATGCCATCTGAAAAGGATCATTTTTTTTTAGATACATAGTTGTAATCCCATTTTTATATTATCGATGACTCACATTCTGAATGACTTGCTTCTTGAAAAAGTCAGAAGTAGCAGAGGTAATGTTTTTGTCGCCACCCATTTTGCACTTAACATATCCATAAAGATTAGCCCCATTGAGTATGGTGGCGATAGACGCAAGTAGCAACCATTTAGGTTTGATGCTAAATAGGGCTATCAAGAAGAAAATGGCCCAGAGTACAGGTGATAGTATCAGGGCAAGCCAAAATATCCTCGCCTCGGATGGATGGACTCGACTTTGCTGAGCACCCTGAAATTTACAGGGCATCTATCACTTGATGTATTGAACACTTATGGATAAATAGTTAATTTTTATGATTACAACACCAAAATATCCACACTAATAAATTTTAAAACATTGTTATTTTAAGCATGCAGAATAAATAGAAAACTAGTTCTCCATAATTTTTTACGCTGTATTATGGAACAGTGAAGTATAAAAAAAGTTTGAATTCTTCCAAGAAAAGTTTCAGAACGTTAAATACTGTTTAAGAACTTTTCAGCTTTAATAAAACCAATAAAAGTTGCAAGAAACGGCTAGATTTTTTTAGTTGAACGACAATTAATAGCATGCCAATAAGTTTTAAATAACAAGCTGGAAAATGAAAGTGATGCAAATTTAATAAGATTATTATCAAAACCTTTCTCGATTCGAAGACCCAGTGGCTCACACCATTATCATCTACGTAGTTCCACCATCTAAGACCAACCATTAGTCTTCCTGTGATATTTTTTACTGTCCAAAAATCCATAGACAACAGTAGAACAACAGTTACAAAACTAGCTATAAAACCATCACTAAACCATCCACAAAACATATACACTAATATGGCTGATACTCTGAAGGCTAGGTGGAACATTGTGACATATGGGTGACTGAAAAATTACACAATGGCATTTAGTATATTTAGTGATGAAATTAATTTGTATTAATGGTAATTGAAATCAAAATTTACTCAAGGTTTCCTTTTTGCGCCTCATCTTCACCAAATGCAATTGTATCATTATCCATCAGTAAAGGCACCTACATACAGAGAAAAACTTTGTAATTAATGACTTCTTATGGAAAAAGCTATTTCATGCAAGAAGTTATGCTCAGGTGAACAATTAAGTTTAAAAAAACTATACGTGTACTAAAATATTGAGTAAAATTATTTATCTTAAAAGCTACTCTAACCTAAAACTGTTAAATAAAGTTATATTAAAAACAAAAGGATTAGAAATCAAAAATCAAACGTATAAAAGAATTGTATGGTTAAAGTAATCAAGTGTACAGAAAATTAGTCTGTTACTTAAGAATTTGTGCAACTATTTTTATAAGATGTCAAAATAATTGCACAACTAATGGCAATAATGGAAGCAATCTGCTGTGACGTCGTGAAAAATTGATGCCAGCAAGTACACCAAAAGTACTATCAACCAAAAATTTACAATGTTTTGTACTAAAAAATTATGTCAAATAATTACTGCTGTTCTTGTAACACAACAACACAAGAACTTTTTATCCTCAAATTTGATCCACAGAAATTCACGACAGTTCACAAGATCGTATAAGTAGTACTCATTCTTAGATCTTCGTTACGTATTAATAATAAAATACGTACACGTCAGTAAACACGCAGCAGCACAGCAATATCCCAAAAAAGCTTTATCCAGAAAGGAAACAAAAATCAGCAGCAACTTTAATGTTTTTCAGCTTGTGATTGCGCAAGTGTAAACAGCAAAATAAGCTAAATAAAATGAGAATAATTTAAATGGCGAGGTATAAAATTCATTTGTATCAAAAAATAACGTTTTTGTCGTGGCAAAATCCAAGTGAGTTAAGTATATTATGATTCATTATGAAATGAGACACCTACCGAAGCAGACATTTTGATAGGTGCTATAGCATATATACCGAAGCAGACATGTTGACAGGTGCTATAGCATATATGATAGATATACGGCGCCTATATGACGATTAGTCAGCATATATATATGTCGCATGTCTCGCGTTGGTTATATTGCGTAAATAGAGACACACAAATAGACCCCCGATGCTCGTCTGTAAAAAAGTATAAATATACTTATAGAAGGTCGATTTTCGCGTAAAAGATAAATTGTAAACTTGCCGCAAATAGCACAAAATATGTTATCTTTATATTATCTATCTTTAGGATTTGTTGCGGCTGGTTTATAACTAACAAAGTGACTTTACTGTGAGTTGTAATAATTATTTGGATCAGCGCCATCTAGCGGTCTTTATTTTTTGGCCAAAAGTGGCTCCTAAAATTCTCAATCTGAGCAATCAGGATTAGAGCCATTTAATCAATCATAAACCAGCCGCAACTCATGACGAAGCTATAAAATAAAAAAATAACGATACGTGTGTTTTTGGCGGCAAGTTAACAATCTATTATTTACCAAAAAATCGACCTCCTATGTATTTATACTTTTGAAGATGAATTTTTAAGCATAAGATAGATTGTTAATTTGCCGCCAAAAACACATGTATCGTTATTTTTTCATTTCATAACCATATGATTAGTTGCGGCTGGTTTGTAATTGATTAAATAGCTCTAAGCCTGATTGCTCAGATTGAGAATTTTAGAGGCCACTTTTCGCTAAAAAATGAAGACCGCTAGATGGCGCTGATCCAAATAATTATTACTTATACTTATAGTAGAGCCATTTAGTCAATCATAAACCAGCCGCAAATAATTCTATGAATAGAAAATAAAAAATTGACGTTGTTTGTTTTATTTGCGGCAAGTTTACAATTTATCATTTATCCGAAAATTGACCTGCAAAAGTATAAATATTCTACTTATCTTAATATGCTTATAAAATCGATAATATTTACAAAATTTTAATACTCTAGACCTTTTACCATTAACTCATGTAAACACAAATTAATGAGTCCAAAAGAGACAACTGAAGAAAAAAGGCCTGAAAAAGAAGCACAGTCACACACTCACACAAAAAGTCTCATAAGAATGGAGCATTGTATCTCACTTGATCAGAGAAGGTTGGGTTCTTTGTTTACTTATAACACTTAAAATTTACATCTCTGTAATAAATGTATTTTTTATTTCTTGAGATCCGATGCTCCATTCCTAGGAGACTCTTCGTGTGACTGTGCTTCTTTTTCAGGCCTTTTTTCTTCAGTTGTCTCTTTTCGACTGATTAATTTACATGTATATTTGATCGTGATTTACGATTTCTGTAACACAAATTTTGCTATGTACATATTATATAAGTTAACTGTTTATTGGAAATCTAAATTTGAAGGGCTGTTCTTTCATTAGTTAATGGCAAAATGTCAAGAGTATTGTAATTTTGTAAATATTGTCGATTTTATAAGCCATATAAGATTAGAATATTTATGGTTTTTGATTTCAATTTTAAGGTAAAATATAAGTTGTAAACTTGCCGCAAGTAGCACAAAAAATGTTATCTTTTTATTATCTATCTAAAAATTTGTTGCGGCTGGTTTATAACTAACAAAGTGACTTTACTGTAAATAGCAATAATTACTTGGATCAGCGCCATCTAGCAGTCTTCATTTTTTAGCGAAAAGTGGCCTCTGAAATTCTCAATCTAAGCAATCAGGCTTAGAGCTATTTAATCAATTACAAACCAGCCGCAACTCATTTTGTAGCTAAAAAATAAAAAAATAACGATATATGTGTTTTTGGCGGCAAGTTAACAATCTATTTTCTATCAAAAATTGACCTTCTATGTATTTATACTTTTGAAGATAAATTTTCGAGTAAAAGATATATTGTTTACTTGCCGCCAAAAACACACGTATCGTTATTTTTTCATTTTATAGCTTCATCATGAGTTGCGGCTGGTTTATGATTGATTAAATGGCTCTAATCCTGATTGCTCAGATTCAGAATTTTAGGAGCCACTTTTGGCCAAAAAATAAAGACCGCTAGATGGCGCTGATCCAAATAATTATTACAACTCACAGTAAAGTTACTTTGTTAGTTATAAACCAGCCGCAACAAATCCTAAAGATAGATAATATAAAGATAACATATTTTGTGCTATTTGCGGCAAGTTTACAATTTATCTTTTACGCGAAAATCGACCTTCTATAAGTATATTTATACTTTTTTACAGACGAGCATCGGGGGTCTATTTGTGTGTTTCGATTTACGCAATATAAACAACGCGAGACATGCATGGGTGACAATTGTTACATTTTTGACAAATTTTAGTATTTTCAGTATTAGACCCTTCGCGTCTGCGATTTTCGACCGACTGTAGTATATATATGTATATAGTGATTTACTTCTTCTATAAATACCTAAAATCTAGGGACTTTTTCAAGACGGTTCCCCTAGAAAATAGTTTGCGTCAGTCCGCGAAATCCGCAACGCTAGATGGCGCTGATACTTAACACACGATGCCAATGCCAAATTGCCAATTGTCAATTATCCTACGACCTACCCCCTACCCCACTTAATTGTCCCTATACAGTACACACCCGCGTTTACCAGAATCTCTGGCGTTTACCGGGTTGTGTATATAGTTTTTCCCAGCAAGCGTAACCTTGAGTGTAGTCGTGTAGTGTGCAATGTCTGGCAATGTGTGCATGCATGTGCATTTCGCCACTTGCTCGCATAATGCTCACGTTGTGTCGTTGTATTCGCAGCAGTTTAATAAATTATTAATGCTTATAAGGTACGTATAGTAAGTACACATCATAGTAATAGCGCGAGTAACGTACTTATTAGATTGTGAAAGGCAAGCTATTACTCATTAAGGCCAATAATCTTTCCAGAAACTCTTGATTTTTTGACCTTCTGATTCTTCCGAAACTGAGAAAAGTGTTGAGGCTGCCGGGCCAAGTGATAGCCTCGAGCCATCTGTGAGTGTTATGCAATTTATACATTATCGCAACAATCGGCTATTTTATTGTTGTTTTTGGACCACAAGTACCTATCTAAGAAAATAGTGACAATCGGCAAGACAATTGTACCTGTACATGCATTGGTTTGTATTATATATACCAATACTTATGTACCTGGTGTATATCCTGTAAATACAGAGAATTTTCCAAAAAAGAGTTAAGGAACGTAATTTTATGTGGCCCTAAAATCTTGGCTTTTTTCAAGAACATGACAATTCTTATATCCTTGTATGTATTGTATTTGCCCATGACTGATTGTGTGTGACTACGAATCGTCAAATTAATTACTGCCAATAAGAGAAGATAAGGGTCTCAAGTATATTTGGCAAGCAAAGCTTTTTTGCACAGTGAACACACAACACGCGCAGCTGCAGTAACCGGTGTGATAACTCTCCGGACGATACGAGCAACTTACATGTATACATTGCAACCACGTGCAATCCTGCCTATATAGACGAGAGAGAAAAAAATAAAAAGGAACTCTTGTTACGTCAAAAGCTTTGTTTACGGTATGTACCTATACGTATTATAAATATATAAATGTGTCGATGCTGATATTAAATATGTCATCATCTCTTTGATCCAGAGTAGTATATACTTAATTGAGAAGCATCAAAGCTCTCTCTCTCTCGAAGCTAGCACGCTGACGCCACATCCGTGTGTTGTGAGTACATATATACACCGGATCGATAAGATAACTCACCGGAGGCTCATTTCTTTTTCTCCCTTCGTTATACATGTATGAGAGTTGAACTTGCGGAAGGATGCGTGAATTTTCTCTCATTCATATATCTGTTTCATCAGTGGCACGCATCATGCTGCTCTTTAAGATTCAAGAGTAATGAAGAAATCCACCCACAGAACTCTCAGAAGATAATTTGGACAAAGTAACGGTTGAGGATAAAAAGAACGACGTTTATTGGATCTTTTTTAAATTTTTTTATGAAGCAATGCCGATTTTTTGGTGAAAGTACCAATACCTTGGAACACGGATATAGATTGTGATGATGGAAAAAGCCAATCAAACAACGGCAACCAACTAAAAAAACAGCCAAATTAGCTTCAATTTAGCTGCTCCGCACAATAGTAGATACACGCATCAAATACATACCTACAACAGTTATCGTGAGACGCGATGAAACAATCAATCAACAGCTGTAACTACACGAGATGATTAACAATTAATAGTTGTTTCCTTCTTCGAAGTAAATGAAAAAAAAAAAAAAAAAAAAAAACTACCTGCAAACACTCGAAAGTACAGGAAAACAAAGAGAACTCTTATCTGTTAGATTCACGTACATGACCCATGAGCTAACACATCGAGAAGGCCCGCGAATTCAACAAACGCAGCACCTACAATTAGAAAGTCATGCCGAGCAGTCGCAGAGGCCCACAATACACCAACAACAGCATCAATAGCGCCGATCCGATCGCGCGCCTACGAAACTCGGCTCGTGGTGGGGTTGCCAAGAGATAAGGGGGACTTCCGAGAGGTTCCCGTGTGCTTAGGTATATCGTCGCCGTCGTTTCGTACAACGGTGTCCATTCACAACAACGAGCTTCTCTTCCTCTTCAGCTACCTAAGGACCTACACCTCCTTTTTTCCACTAAGAAAAGAAGCCAAAACGCGTAAGATGATCCGGGAGTACTCGCACGTCACCCAGGCTCTGCTTGGGACCCTCTTCACCTGGGGACTGACGGCACTGGGTGCTGCCGTTGTCGTTGTCATCCAGGGCAAACAGGTGAGTTTGAAAAAAAAAAAAAAATGTTTCACGATTTTCCTTTCAATCGATTTATTTTCGTCTCTGTTCGGGGCTCGTGCGTTTTATTTTTTGCTTTTTGAGATAACTATTTGTTATCAGTTTTGCTTCTGTGCATCGGCTTATTGATTCGGCAAACTGTGTACAAAGTCACCTATTTAAAACTACACGAAAGGGAAGTTTTGCAAAGAATGAAAGCTTTTTCGTTTAAATTAATGAGAAGCTGTTTGTTTTCAATTGATCGTGTAATATTTTGTTACCGATTTTATTGGGATTATTATCGTGGGAAATAGATTAGAGAATGTAAAGAAAAGTTTCTCACAACTTACGTTAACTGAAATGTGTTAACTTTACGTGATTAGTTACATTGAATGAGATTTGTTTTTCAAGGAATTTTTTCAATTACTACACTGCAAATGAGAATTTATTACTCCTCACCTTATCTCGTGATCGTGTGCACTGGTGACACTGCATCATCAAGTTTCAAACTAAAAACGGCATTTGTTGGACATGAACTAAAAAATCAGATCATACTGAGAAAAAAAATGTTCAAACGTGTCCTCGAAGATAAGTGAAACTCTATAAAGAAACAGTTGTAAGAAATATATCGCATTTGAAGAACAAAAAACATACTCGTTTTAACTATCGATACAATGTAAAATTTAACGCCAATTGCCAACTGATTTCCATTTTTAAATGCCTATGATAAAAATGATATTGACATCGTAATCCAGCACACTCCACGTTTTATCGCGATATATCACAGTTGTAAAAAGTTAACGAATGATTACGCTTGAGAAATCTCGAACTCGAAGCGATAAACGTTTTTACGATTGATCATTAGAACGAATCGATTTTCAACTACAAAAGAAAAAATAAAAAAATCTTGAGGCATATCCGGTGGCGATGCGTGTACTTACAATAAACTATCGATGCTTCATATCAGATGTGTGATAAAAGTAATAAGCAAAGTCTATAAAATCGGCACTGCATGGGTTTGATCGTTTGTTGCAGAGGAAGCTACTGGACGCAAGCCTGGGTTTCGCCGCGGGTGTGATGGTAGCGGCGAGCTACTGGTCCCTGCTCAAGCCGGCAATCGAGATGGCCGAGAAGGACAGTACCTACGGGAGCAACGGGGAGTACGCGTTCGCACCCGTGGCCATGGGCTTCCTGCTGGGCGCGCTCTTCGTTTACGGGACAGACGCCCTCATCACGAGCCTGGGCATACAATCCCCGAATGTGCTCTTAGCCATGCAGTCTGTCGGTACGAACAACAAACAACAACAACAACAAAGACTATCGAGGCGCGCCGGCAAGCTAAAGAGTGACAAAGAGGACTTTGACGACGATAGCAGTCAGTTTTGTGACTCGCGTACTTATGCAGCCGGGCTCGCCAAATCGGCTTGCTCGCGCTTCGAGTCAACCACTATCGATGGTATCCCCTGATTATCCCAATTTTGCTATCTCTCTCTTTCTCTCTTTTGCTCTTTCGCTCTTTTGTTTTATTTATTCGGCCCTTCTTTTTTTCATTTCGGTTTTTACTATCGTATTGTTTGTCTTTTTCTCTGGTAATTTCTATATACTTACACTCTCTGGTTGTATCGTCCTGGATAGGATCTCTGTGTTTTCGGGGTTTTTTTTTTCTGTTTTTTGTCATTGATAATTTTTTTTTTTTTTTTTTTTTCTTTTTGTTGTAAATGGGCACACTGCAAATCCAAGTGTGGTATTCAAGGTTTTTTTTATGACGATCGAAGCTGGTGAAACAGTTGGTATTGATACTACTGTACTGTAACCGATTTTTTTTAATATGGAAATTTCAACAGCACGCTTTAATAATACACTTGGATTTACATTGTACATATTTTTACACGATTAGTTGTTTCTACCGTTTCACTTATTTTTCCTTTCTTGTGTTTTTTCGTCTGTAGGCTTGAGAAATGGGATCATCCATGCACTACATCAAATATTCTTTCTGGTTTTTTTTATGGTACATGGAAACGAATTGACGTGACTTTGTTTTCTTCTCGAATATTTGAATTAAAATTTTTATTTTGACCACCGAATATTCCAAATTGGATCCACTTACAGATCGGTGTTACATGTGCTTAAGTTCCATCACGTGCCCTGCTTCGTTTCATGTCTTTCTCTCTCTTACGCCTAACAACTTATATTTCGGTACTTTCTGCAATACGATATGCGAATAAAAATAATCAAAGCCACTCCGTATGCTAACAGCCACAGTCAGTCGCAGTATTGATAGCAACGGTACGCTTAAATTTATTTTTTTTAAATAAAACGATGACGCGTACTTTATTCGGAGCGCTCGAAATTGACGCTAGTCTGGCATGCTGGTTGGTACACAACATCATTATTCGCTTTGGATTCCAGAAAACCGTAGCCACTTTTTGAACGCTTCAATGCACAAATGCTCTAATAGTCCATCATTGATCACATTTATTATTATTTATTGCCATCGGTAGTTAGCTTTTGATCACACTGGGTCTTTTATCGTTTCGCATGACTGGGATCGTCATCTTTTTTTTTTGTTTTTTGTTTTTTGTTTTTTTTTGGAGAGCCTACTTTTACAGCTATATTAGCTGACCGGGTGACATTTTCAGTGTAAATTCTCTATTAAATGTAAACATTACTTGATTGCGACCCTCCTCCCTAGTCTAAATAATCTATACTCAACAGTATGTGACGTATAGTGCGTAGTGCAGTGATCTAATAACGATAAACCGAGTGTGATAAAACTAAAAATTTAAAAGTCGAACCAAAAATAACAACGTAGAGTGTAGTGCATCGCTTATAACTTAAATCGAAGCATTTTAAAATAAAAACAATAACAATCAAATTAATTGAGTCTTTACACTGGAAATGTATCCAAGTCTACTTTTATATACGTACAGTATGCGCTCCAAAACTGATCTTTTTTGCTCAAAGCCTGCAGATGCAAAAAGGAGAATCTTTACCAGAAAAAAAAAAAAAATACTTATCTCTTCATTACGTTTTACCACGTCAACCTTTTGTATCGGAGAGCGCGCGCGAACATACACACCCGTAGCGCTGTAGTTATGTTGTTTTCGTTGTATACACCATGAAAAATACACACATGTTAGTTAATTGTTGCGTGGGTATGCGTGTCATTGGTGGATGTACGGCACGAGGTGGTTTGGATGTATGGATTGAAAAGAGCGCCGGCTCTTGCCGACCGGCTGATTTTAGGATTTTACGAGCAAAACGCGAGGCGCCGACAGCAGTCGAGCGTCCAGAGAACCAGCGAGGTCGGAGATCCAGGAACAATCTACGAGGATCCCAACATCGAGGCCAAGAACGACCAGTGGAAAAGGATACTCCTGCTGGTCATTGCCATCACCGTAAGTATACATTTTTATAAAATAACCTTGTTCAAGGTGATATTCAAAGTCGATAAATGTTTTAGTAGTTCATATTTTTTTTTTTTTTAATCCAATTTCAAGGTAAAATCGTTTATAAAAATGTTCATTCGGTGCTGTTCTTAGAAAATATAAATTATAATAAAACTATGTCCTTGCAAGTTTTTAACAGCTAGCAATAAATGTAAAATAACAAAACGTTGGTAGATTCGTTAAGTTTATGACTCAATTTAAATAACAATGTTTTTGTTCGAATTTTAAATGTAATTTCACGCAACAGCAAAAATTATTATTTTTTTTTTTTATTTTTTTTTTTTTATTTATATTTAAAAATCCTTGAATAGATGTTTATTGAAAAATTAATTTTGCTATACTGTTCGTCGTTCGTACGTACACTTAAAGATAATGGAGAGTAAAATTAAAATCCCATTGATCGACTGTGCTCGTTATAGGTGCACAACATTCCCGAAGGTCTAGCCGTGGGTGTTGGTTTTGGCGCTATTGGGAGTCCAGGAGCAACTTTCGAAGGTGCAAGGTAAGATTTTGAATACAATCATATACCTATTTATTTTTCTCTTTCTTCAAAAAGTCGTACGCTTCATTGAAAAAACAGAATTTTTACCTACCTCACGCAGCCAAGAGTTTATTAACATACAATTCCATTTGAATCTATAGATTCGAGAGAAAAAAGGCGTGTTTTATGGGAAAACAATGTAGATGAAAAGATAAATCTCGTCTTGAATAGCTAAGCCGTGATAATGTTGACTTTCTTACTTTCCATATAGCTGTCCCGTACATTATATCTGCGGTGTCGTGGTATTTCGAAACAAAGTACCCGAATACCACTATACTCTCCATAGGCTTCGTGAAAAAAAAAAAAAAAAAAAAAAAGTAGGGATACCTTACATCGACAAAAATAGCAACTGCGATTCAAAAGTTCACTCACACGCATAGAAACTCCAAAAAATCGCTTGCGTTAACCGATTTATTACGGTATAACTCCTTACGAAAGTGTCCACCCAAACTCGAAGATATTCGTAACGCAACTGTAATTGCGCAGTTTCGTAATACGAAGAAGCTCAAGTTGATAGTCAACTTGAATTTCTCGGTATTGCAAATAGATAAGTATCAAACAAACGGAACGCTGAAGTATCGATGAGCAATACTTATTGTCGGCTTTTTTCCATACCTTATCCGCTCAAGGTCTAAAAGTCCACGCGCCGATAGGTGTGACGTTTGTTTTTCTATCGCAAAAAAGTAAACTTTGGAAGATACCACATAAAAAACAGCCCGCCAATCGCCCGGATATCCCTGAAAGCCTCCAAAACCACCGCAGCCATCCGAGCTCACCCAGGGATGTCAGGTACCTATTTCTCCAGCCTTTGGTAACGAAGATACCGCATGTACCGATACGTGCCCACGTGTTGCCCCGGAATCAACTTGGACTGCAAGCCATCAGAGGCCGGCACGTCGACGCGAAGACAGGCCACCGATTCAGTAGTAACAGCCTCTTGGACGACAGGCCGATCGGACGTACACGGTCCGCCGAGCGCAGGGGGCTACGGGGGGAGGCGAGAGAGAGTCGCGCGGAGGCATTCGTGGTAGGAGGTCCGCATGAATGAGTTCCACGGTGGTCGGGGCCGCGGAGAGGCGCGACGGGGACCTTACCCGGAGGCTGAGTTTATTGGCGCGGAGGGATTTTCTCTCTCGCTCTCGTGTGCCTCTTTGCGCTCGCGTGTGTATAGGTATACATGTAGGAGAGGAATCGTACGTGTTACATCTCTCGGAGGTGAAGAGAGAGAGAGAGCGTGTGGCCCTGGAATCCAGCGAGCCCTAGGCGCCGCGCATTCCATCCCTACCCCGTAATACCTACCCACGTATAATATACACTCGATCGGTGCAGGGCTCCTGCCGCGAGTTGAGGCCGTGCTCTATAGCTCTCTCGCGTGCTCTGTATGCGTGCGTTATTGGCTCCCGCGGGCTCTGCATTCTCACCGATGCCGATCATGAGTATTACTACGACGACGGTCTGATGCTTATTTCTCGCTCTCGCTTTTTATCTCCCCCCCCCCCACCCTCACCCAGTCCCTTCTTCTTTCTTTGTGATTTTTCTGCTCCTCGTTTCCAAATGATAAATGTATATATAAGTACGTGCCGATGATGCACCCCTTTTGTACACGTGTTGCACATTGATTTTGTTGATATGATGAATCGGGGGTGTAATGGACTTTTTTTAAAACGTACAAACGGATATGGATTATCGGAGAGAAAATTGGCATTACAGGGGTGGTAAGAAAACATTCCCCATAAGGAATAAATATATTATCTACGCCCGACCGCATCTCATAAGTGTTCACTTGTAATCAAAGTAATGAACAGTTGGAGAAACGCGAGAAGCGCTCGTATAGTTGGCACCCGTGGATGCGTGAGCAAATAAGTTTATAATATATTATTGTATATGTGTAGATGTGTACGGGTAAGTATATTATACGGGGAGTATTATGCACTGCTATATTATACATATCGGGCGGCGCCACATTGGTCTAGACGCATGTCTGATACCGGAAGATTCCCCGCACGGAGAGGCTTGTTTTCGTTGCTCATCCCTTTACTCCCCCGCTGCTGGTGCTGGCTCGTCTCTCCTCCTGTCGCCCCGTTGGTTTTTTCTTGTCCATCTCTTCTTCTTCTTCTTCTTCTTCTGCGTTTGCGAGCCCAGGAATGCAGGACCTTGCCTCTTGTACGCTGTATAGCCCGCGCTTCCACACTCGAAAGAAGGATTATTTTACGTTTGACTGCATGTGATTTTTTTTTTTTTTTTATTCCAAACATGGCATAAAAAATTCCTACCAACGTAATTAACATTAAAAGTTTTGGCTGTGTTTGGCCCTTTTTTAAGGTACAATTAAACAGGGCTCCCGAGGAGCAAGGACGCTGGATTTCTCTGGGTGTACCACCACACCGATTAAATCAAAAGTGCTTGTATATACCTTTTTTATTTGATTAGGTATGTATACTTGAGATTACACGGATAATTATGTAAGCGTATGGGTATGGGTGTGTATACGCGAACCGAGTCGATGATCACGTGCTGCAAATATGCGAATGACGAGCAAAGGGAGGGCAAGAGCGGGCGGAGGAGAGCCGATAATCGCCGGAGGTTATCGCGTCGGGCTGCCCGGCCTTTTCTCTCTTCCTCCTATACTCCATCATTGTATGTGCGTGCGTGTGCTCGCTCCCTTCGGTTCATTCATAAGCCGCTCGCTCGTGGGGCACAACAGCACCGATTTGAGATACATTTTTTTTGCTCCTTCTTTTTGCAGCCGAGCGGTGATATCGCGCGACGAAATCAAAGTTGGCCCAGTGTATGACCGAGCGAAATTAAAAACAAAAAAAAAAACAAAAAACGTTTGTTCGGTCGCTCGAGCCTCGTCCGATGAGTCTGAAATTTCAAAAAGGTAAAAAGGTGCCGCCACGCGAATTTCCGCGCGTTGGAATCCAGCGGTGCGCCCGCAAGTGCCGGCTTCGCGGGGACTCGGGAGGCAGCTGTCGTTTGCGCGCGTCCCTTTGTCGCTTAAACGTAAGCAGAGAAAGAGAGAGGGAGAGTCGTCGCGCGCGCATAATGGGCCGATTGTCTGGCATCTCGGTGGATCCTTGAAAAATGTACCGTTGGTCGTATATACACAGTGGATACAGCTGGCGCTGCAGATGCGAAAGAAAGCGAGAAAGGTGGAGGCAACGCATATGTATATATACAAAGGCCGTACATCACCGTCGCAGCTTTCCAATTTTCATACACATGCGCCCCGATGCCGTGTTCTCGTGTGCACATGCCCAATGAGCCCCAAAATATTACACCTATACCATCTGCGTTAAATTAAAGTACCATGATTTTGTATACATGTATATTTTTTTTTTTTGGCGTTGCTACGTAATTACGCGATTGCTCGACTTGTAAGGTCGATGATGCGTGTACACATATGCAATGTGCCCAATATTACTCATTGTATAACCGAGCTACGCTACATAGAGTTACAACTGCGTATGCCATTTTTTTTTTTTCCTTGTTTTAGAGACGTAGATTTTTCATTATATCCATCTATACGTAGGTCTCACTTGTAGTCCCAACCAAAAATTACGAATCCCATATAGTTTGTACCGAAAGCAGCATTAATCGCACACGCGTCCATGTATATATATATATATATGTTTAACCAGCAGTTCGCCTTGTCTTTCCTTGGAAAGGACACTCGCGGTTGTTGATCGGGGGAGAACCTCCCGACGACAACCTGCACATGTATACACGTATATGCGCAGCGAGTGTCCGGCGCGTGACCGTTTTCCTTGACCAACTGTTGTACAGTTGCCGAGTCTACATACCTATACTACTCGCGGGAAAGCTATGTCGCGGCCGGCGGAAAGGCCGTTCGCGCGCGCGGTGTCGCAAGAAAAGCCCCCCCTTGTCCCTTGCTCCAACGTAACCACGTATACCAGCAGAGTTTCATTCACTGGCTCGATGAGGCGCAACTCTACGCAGCTTTGCCACCGTCGTCGCGGTGTCCCGTTCCCTGGGAACGGATTACCCAATGGTCAAAAACGGTGAGAGTACATCTCGGGTATATAGGCATTCCTCGTGGAGCCGGTGGTGGCTTTGGAACTCGCTGTTTTTTCTTCTCTCGACGCGTAATAAAAGCCACGACTAATCCGATTTCGATGCGGAGCAACGACATCGCCGATACCACACAGGTACTCTACCCGCTTATGTATACCTACACATACGGCAAGTCGGCGTGGAGCGTCGTGTATTACCGCGCAGCGCTGTAAGAATGAAAGGTATGCGGACTCGTTTCCGGTGTCAACGAACGTGACAAATCCCGGGTGTATACGCGCCGTTCACCGCTCGACAATGCTCGCGCGTTCGGCGCAAAAATACATCACCGCGAGCAGCGCACCATATCGCACGCATCGTTTGGTTTTGCAGGTGCACGATCGCCACTGGGAAAAACTCTTATCTCTGACTCACTCTTGTTTTTTATTTTCCTCTTTTCTTTTCTGGTGCGATCTCGATACTTGACATTTTCCATATGCGTATACTACACGCGCGACTTGCCGTCCGGAATACGAAACTGTGTGTCCTGTTTTTTTTCGCATCCGGCCTCTCTTTTTTTTTTTCGCCCCGTTCTCGGACTCGAGCGGAAAAGTCACTTTTTATTCCCTCCTCCTCCTCCTCCTCCTCCGAAGAAAACACGGAATGCGCGCTGTGGTCGAAGCAAAAACATCAACGGCTGGGATGAATGAATCGTTTTTGCCGCCGATAGACCGTATAGTTTTCATATACTTCCTTTTTTTTTTTTTTTTTTCCCCGCTCGAGCGGAACGAGCAAAGAAATCGCTCCATACGTAGCGAGAAAAGCGCGCGTACAATACATCATAATGTAGGCTGCGCTCTCGATAAAAAAATTTTTTTTTTTTTTTTAATTCGCGCTCCGTCGTAACTATAACGCGAGCGAGGGAGCTGAATCATCGAACGATTGAATGA